ATTTATCAGCTGTAGGAGTTTTCTGGGGAAATATTTTAGGTATAGAATCATATAATCCACAAATATGGGTACATTGACTTCTCCCTTTCCTATTTGTATCCCCTTAATTTACTCTTGTTTTCTTGCCCCACGTAAGAATTTAAACACTATATTGAACAGAAGTGGAGCAGGTGGAGAAAGAGTGAACATTCTTGATTTTAGTGGAAATGCTTTGAGTTTTCTACATTTAGTATAATGTTGGCTTTGGGATTGCTGTATAGTAACTATATTGTGCTGAGATACATCTCCTGTATCCCTAGATTCTTCATGACTTTTATAATGAATAGATGTTGGATTGTGTCGAAGGCCTTTTCTGCATCTAATGAGATGATCTTAAGATTTCTCTCCTAGAGTTTATTTATGTGGTGGATAACATTTATTGATTTACATATGCTGAATCATCCCTGCATCTCTGAGATGAAGCCAGCTTGATCATGGTGGATCTTTTTAATGTGCTCTTGCATTCTACTTGCAATTATTTTATTGAGAATTTTTGTGTCTATATTCATTAGAGAGACTGGCCTACAGTTTTCCTTTTTTGGTTGGATCTTTGTCTGGTTTAGGTATCAGAGTAATGCTGGCTTCATATAAAGTATTTAGAAGCATTCCTTTTCTATCTTATGGAATAGTGAGGAAAATTGGTGTTGGTTCTTCTTTGAAGATCTGCTAGAATTCTGCACTGTATCCATCTGGTCCTGGGTTTTTTTAGTTGAGAGGTTTTTAATTACTGCTTCTATCTCACTGGTTGCTATGTGCCTATTTAAATTGTTTATCTCATTTTGGAGTCATAGACTAAACAAGGAGAACTCAAGTTGGTGCCCACCTCAAAGCTTCATCTCTACTAGCTAGCTTTCATTGCTGGAAGGTGCTATGAATGCTATTGGAAGAGAAAACAATCAACCTTGCCCAGCTGCAAACTCTGTGAGCCACAATAACAACAGGCCTGGCAAGATATGCTCACTGGTGCAAGAGTGGCACAAATGTTATGTGAATAACCAATCACTTATTGACTGGATTGAAGGTCTGTTTCACAAGATGGAACCCTGTTGAGTCTAATTTGTGCCCCCAAAATGCCCTTTGGTGTGGGTCCATCCCCTGCAATCTGGTCAACATACCCAGCATCACACTCTTCAAGAAAACTGACTCTTTCTCCCAGAATACCTGGAAAAAAAAAAAAATCCATATCTGACACTGGTATCAGGCTGGAACTTGGGTCTAGAAAGGTCACAGGCCACAGGGAAGAGCCTAATACTACTGTTCTACTAAACAGACAAACAAACCAACTCTTAATGACTTACTGCTATACCCATAAATTCATACATCTCTCAACTCTCACCAGAGAAGCTTCTTGCAGCAGATGGCAACTAGCACAGACTCACAATTAGTCAATTTGCAGAGAATAAGAGACTACAGAGTGCTTAGCCCCGAATGGGACACCTATATCAAACTCTTGCCTCCCAAGGCTCAAGAAAGGGCAGAAAGACTGTAAGAGCCAGAGGTGATGGAAGAATACAAGGAAACATTGTTTTCCAGATGGAAGGGCAGCTATTCATAATGAATCCACAGCAACTGTGACAGCATGCACAAGACATACACCATTCAAGCCAGACAAAATCCCAACACTGGGGGCAGGGGACTGGGTGGGAGGGGGAGGGGTTGATAAGAAGCCCCACCTAGCTGAGGAACTATTGGCAGCTAATAGCTGTTGGGAAAGGGAGAATCAGTTTTCTTTATGGGTATGACACTAAGTAGGTTAACCAGATTCCAGGGGAAGGACCCATACCAAAAAGCATTTGGGGACACAAATTAGACTGAGTAGGCTTCAAAAATAATAGCAATAATAGAACATGAAATGAATGGGGGGAGTTAGTAAGCGGGGATGCAGACAGAGCAGATATGAATATGATCAAAATTACTGTACGCAATTCTCAAAAATTAAATAAAATTTATAAAAAAACAAAACAACAAACAAAAAGAAACAGTTTAAAAGCTGGGTACCGTGATTCACACCTATAATCCTAACACTTGAAAGGCAGAGGCGGGAGATCATGAATTCAAAGATAGCCTGAGCAACATAGACTCTCTCTTTCTCTCTCTCTCTCTCTCTCTCTCTCTCTCTCTCTATATATTTTTATATCAGCTAAAAATAATTTAAAAGATCTTTTCATATAAAGAAAATCCAAGAGCTAGACAATTTCACTCTTGAATTCTACTAACATTAAAAAAAATAATAACACCAAGTCCATCAAATTCTTCCAGAATATAAAGAGGAGAAAACATTTCTCAGCCTTTTCTACAAGATCTAGTGATAAACACAAGTGGGGGGGGGGAAAGCCAAGAAAAGTAAACTGAAGGTTAATTTCTCATGGGCATAGGTGTAGTTTTTATTTGTTTACGCATTTATTTATTTTTGAGACAAAGTCTAACTATACTGCCCAGATTAGCATAGAGCTTGGAATTCTCTTGCCTTACCCTCTTGAGGGAACTGGAAATGGGATCCCTCAACCTGAACTAGCTCACTGTTAAAAGACTGAATGCTTTCCATCCAAAAAAAATCAAGTACAAGAATGTCTGTTTATAGCACTTACTTTCATCATCATTGTACCAAAAACCTTCGCCAGTGCAGTAAGGTAAGAAAAGGAAAATGGATTGGGAAGGCAGAAATAAGGATCAGGTCTTTCTCAGCAACATGCTGAATTGATATGAGAGACAGCATTACAGCTTTAATAGTCTGTATAAAGCTGCATAAAGAAGAGTAAAATCTAAGATATCCTTACAACCTAAAACTCTCTTAAAACAGTTGTGGGTTTTAACTTTTCTAAATTGTAAAGGCCTTTGTCCAGCTAAGCACTATCAAAAGTTATTCAAATTTAAAATAATCATTTAGCCTGAGCAAGTCCTTCACCTGTCCTTACCACAAAAACAAAACCAACAACAATAAACAGCTACATGAAAGCTAAAGGCAACCAAAATATTAAGTTTATTTTGGCTATGAAACAATTACCAACCAATCAGTGATACCATAAAACTATCCGTAAGACTCGGTGAGTGGTGGAAGAGCTAGACTCCACTAATGCCTGTGGAATGAAAGCTAACTGAATGCACATGACTGAAACAGCCCACGAGATCCTGGAGTAACAGCGAGGCAGAAGAGAAATCTTTATTATGCATAAAGTAATAATCTGTAATTTATTCAATTTATAGAACCATTTTATTTCATATATGAAAACAGAATCATTTTCCTCCCATGAGCTGAAACAAAGACTTGACTACAATTAGATAATGAAATCGAAATTAAAAGCCAAAGAAGGACATTTTACTAAGGACTTCATGATCCTCAAATTAGCATGTGTACTGCATTAAGTAGACTCAGCTTTACTGACCTTTGACCAGATCTTGTCTAACTTTTAAAACTGCTCCAAGGTCACAGTCAGCAGTAGCATATGCATGAGGTACAGTGCTTTTAGATTCAGTTAACCTCTTGGCAATAACTTTTCGAATATTGCTGGCAGGGATTTCAGTGAATGTGCCCTGAAAAAAAAATCCCAAATATAAACACCCCCAAACAGCAATTTATCCATTACAATATAAGTAGAATGCAAAAAGAATAAAACAGCTACCTATCTGAAATCCAGTCTTACAGACCAAATTTGTGATATTAAAGAAAAGCACTATTAAAAATTTCTATATGAAGGGAGAATATAAGAAATCTAAGTTTTTCTGCTTTAGCTTACACAACTACAGAAAAAAATAGCAAAATTCAATTTCAGTTATGAATAGAACATCATATTCATTTCAGTTATGAATAGAATATCTTATATTACTATATTTAAGATGAAAAGAAATCTACCAAATCATCACTGTGCACATGCATATACTCCATGTACACACACATATGCATAGACATACAGAGACAATGAGAGAAACTATCTATCTATCTACCTACCTACCTACTAACTACCTACCTACCTATCACCTATAAGCAGTTATAAACTTAACAAAAGTCAAAGAAGCCAGTAAGAAAAAAATGCCAATTATAATAGCAAGTCTTACAGTTTTCAACCTTCTTCAAATATTATAATGAACTATATTTTTCTACTAGTAAGAATTGTGTTTATTTCTCCTTGGTTTTGTTAAAGTGTCTACTCTATCTTGAACAGTAAAGGGACATAGAATAGAAAAATGGAATAATCTGAAGAGAAAAAAAAACCACAGTTGTTCTACTGAACATGTCTGAGAAGGTAGGTGTGATTAGTTGTAAGGTACATTCTACACAGTTTTTCATAGTGAGACTATAAATTCTGTAGCCTAAAGTAAAACATATCTACAAAATGAAGCTGGTGTCAGCTACCAATTATTACATCCAAGGAAAAGAAGACACACAAAAATATATCATGATCATAGAGCATATGTGTAGTGCTGAGGTTTTAGAACCTGTGGAAAAGTTAAACTGAATCACAGTTCTATTAGGAAGCTAGTGCTACACAAACAAATCAGTTTGTGCTAGGACATCTATAAGAAAGCCACTTGCAGTAATTTTCTATATTTATAACTTTAAGCTATTGATAAAATAGACCAATAAAGTACTTATAAAATATATAGTAATAGTTTTTATTTTCTTTCTTACTTATCTAAAACATAGAAATCTTATTCAGAGGATCTTACCGCTGCATTAGGTTGCCCAGGGATGGAAACTGGCGGGATCATTGGCCGAGGGTAAGATGGCCCAGCTGTGGCCTGAGGTGGCACAGGTGCTGTGAGAGTGGACGGAGGAGCTGGGGATGTTCTGGATTCGGTGATCTTGCCCATCTGTTTCAGCTTGACTAGCTTTAGAGCATCTCTGGTGAGGGCAGAAATTAGATAACCATGATTAGTAACAAGAATATAATACAGTGCTTAGAAGATGACGGGGAGATATAAAGGAAGATAAAGCAAATCCTTCCTCCACATGGTCTTCTGATTCTTATTATATGTCCAATGGTTATATTAACATTTGCAAAATTCAATTAACAATTAGAATTTCTAATAAGTAGAATCTGTTGGGTACATTTGAAGTGACAATTATCTTCCCTCAAACAAAAACACCTCTTAATACTTTCAAGCAACATGATAAGAAGAATTTCAAATGATCCTATTATGCCTGATCCTAGAGTATACACATATAGCCCTCAGTATTGGATAATGAGAGTATTTTTTTTTTTCAAAAAAAAAAAAACACCTAATTTTTTTGGAGACAGGTGTCATTAATGAGATGAACAATTCAGAAATTAAAACGTTTTATTTTATGCCTACAAAATATTTCTCACATAGTATTCAGCAAGTGTCAAGTTTATTATACCTATGACTTCCATTAGGATATTTACTAAGTCATTATTTTAGTGCAAATGAGCTTTTTTTGTTTTTAAAGAAGGAAATCACACCACTTCTAATCAATATACTATCAGTACAACCTAATAACATAAACTATAGCAACATTATGAATGAAATATAATTTATTAGTCATGGACCTGTTTTGTACTACTGTAAAACAAAGGTGCATTTATTTACAAAGGGATAAAATACACCCAGCCCTCAGTTCAGTTCAGTGTGCTGAATTAGTGGGTGTTCTAGTTAGTGTAACATAACTAGAATCATCTGAGAAGGGAGTCTCAATTAAAGGATTACCCAGATCAGATTGGTGTGTGGGGGACTGTCTTGATTGATAATTGATGTAGGAGGGCTTGGCCCACAGTGGGAGTCACAATACCCTAGGCAGGTGGTCCTGGGCTGGAAAAAAAAATGCTACCTAGGTATGAGCCTGAGAGTGAAACAAAAAGCAGTGTTCCTCCGTGGTTTCTGCTACAGTTCCTGCCCTGACTTCCGTCAGTGACGGACTGTGACCTGAGATGTCAAGTCAAATAAACCTTTTCCTCCCTAAGTTGCTTTTGCTAAGAGTTTTGTTTTAATTACAGTAACAGAATTTTCAAAACTAAGATTGGGGGTAAAAAAGCAATATATCTTCCTTAATAACTTTTTTTTGAGAAATTTAATACCTGGCAATTTGAAAGCAAATTTTCAGTTCAAATTAAAAATCAGTTTCATATCATCTAAACACAAGTATATGTGAGCACAAATTTAAAGATAAACTAATTTCAAAATTTCTCAAACATATTTTGGTTTTATTAGTAAATCAAGAGTAAAGAAAGAGCCCAGCTTCTCCTGAACACATCTGAGAAGACAATTATCCTTCCCACAACAAAACCTTTTACTAATAACTTCTAGCAACACAGCAGGCAGAATTTTAAGCTGGCTCCAGTTTTCCTGACCCTGCAGTACATCAGTACAATCCCTCTAGACTAACGTGGGTGGCCTGTGAATACAATGGATGTCATTCTCATGATTAGGTCACATTATATAACAAGGTTGATGGAACTCTAAATGTGACTAGGTCTCAAATCAGTTGTCTTCAAGGAACATGCAAATTATCAAGGAGGGTCTGGACATAAGAGGTAAGGCTTCTAAAGGAACTGAACCTTCCTGGAAGAGGAGAGTTGAATCGAGAAAGTCAAATGCAGGCTTTGGAGAAGCGAACAGGTGTACTGTGAACTGCCAATGGAGACAACCATGTTACAGGTCTGAAGGAGGTCTGAAGGAGATGAGAGTGGTCCCTGGTAGAAAACTAGCAAGAAAAAGGTCCCACAGCCCTCCAGGCCCAACTTTTTGATTAGGACTCGAGGCTTCTGAGGAGACTCCAGCCTTAGTCAACACTACAATTTAGCCTTGTGAGAACATGAGCTGAGAACCCAGTCATACTGTGCCCAGACTTCTGATCTATAGATCTGTCAGGCAACAAACAGATGTTTTAGCTGCTAAGTTTGTTGTAACTTGTTATGCAGCAATAGACATTCTAACTTTGAGTGCACTGTTAGAGGATAGACCAATATGCACTGACACATTACTTAGAAAGGAGGATTAAGACTTTACAGTAAATTCAGAAAGGGGAACATAACTCCAACTTTATTTTTGCTTATTTATTTAATTACTTTTATTTTATGCGTATGAGTTATTGCCTGGATGTAAGTGCACCATTGTCATGCAGTACCCTTGGAGGTCAGAAGAGGGCATCAGATCCCCTGGAACTGGAGTTCCAGATGGTTGGTTGTTAGCCACCATGTGGGTGCTGGGACTTGAATCCCGGTCATCTGTAAGAGCAGCCAGTGCTCTTAACTGCTGAGTCATCTCTCTAGCCCAACCCCAACTTGAAATGCAATAACTTACATGTTTTCAAAATTAAAGAACTAGCATTTTAGATGAGAGAACTGACAAAGCAATCTAAAATGCTACATCATTTTAGATCCCCAACATTGAAAAAGTAAGAGAGCAAAAGTGAGCCTACCAAGTGTAATGCGTGTGCTTATGTTATGTGACTTCATACCAGGCAGGTGGGAGAAGTATTACTATTACCCCTAATTTAGAGATAAGTGGACTCAAGACAGGTAAACCCAAGGTCTGGGTCAGTATTGCTCAGGCACCTAATCCATTCTAGATGTTGGGAGATAATGGTGTTTGACAATATGCTTCCCACTAAGGAGCTTAATTCTACAGAGGAGTCAAAGTAGAATAGTAGGGATTCACCTAAAATAAAGAAAATAAATCAGAGCAACAATACAGACAGTGATGAGTGAGGAGTTATTTTAAGACAGAATAGTCCAGGAAGGCCTGGGCAGATAGAAATTCATATGGAATGATATAAAGGAGCAAGTTTAAAACTGGGAAAAGTGCCTATGTAGGCAGAGGGGGGGCAAGTGTTACGTGTCAGGAAAACATGTGACTTCAAAGAAAATGAGGTTTCTAAGAGAAGGAAGGCCAGAATCGAAGGAGAGCACTGAACAAAGTGCAGAGCATTAAAAGATGTTCGAGTGGCAGGCAGTTGAGTGTCTCCCACTTTCAAATAGCTGTGGACATGCTATGCAGATTAATGTAATGAAAGCAGATTTCTCTAAGAATCAATCAAAGATTAAAGGAATCCTGGGATTGAACAAAGAATTGGGGTGTGTCTAATCTAAAGTCAGAAGTAGGATTTTCTCACAAAGGTCATTTGCCCACCACAGAAATAGTTATGGGGCCATGGCTGGTTCTCAGAAAGCAGGCCAGTCTGGAGATGGTGAGATGGTGACAGGGTCACTAAGGACACGAAGGGGGTATGTGTCTGAGTAATCTGTGGACCTTTAAGGCTTCTGACAAATTTACTTCTGCTTGGCTATCGATTTTTGCTTAGTATTTATAACCAAAAGAACTGTTTTCCAGCCAACTATAACTTTGCATCTAGGTGTAAAGGTGAACGGTACCTGATACAATCCCTGGGGACTTACATCATATGCCAAAATGCTAGCCAGACAGTAAAGTGTTGGCACTAAATAAGGCCTGATGATTCATAAAAATGCCTCCAAAAAAGAACCTTCCCTTTCTGGAGCTCTTATAAGTCACAGCCTAACACTATTTAGTTCCTTCCCACTGTATGTGAAGTAATTAAATACTTATCTCACCAACAAAATGTACTATCAAACAGATTTTAAATGAAATTAAAGTTTAGTTACCATAATGGCAAATAATAAACATGTTAGTTTCCTTAGAGGTCACCAGTTTACTCAGTCATTAGTACAAAACACAGACAGACACACACACATATACACAGACGTGCATGAGCACCCCCAAAATCCTCTTGCAAATTAAATCTAAGCATATTAATCCCCAATGACCTGTCCTTGACCTAATATACTAAGTTTCTCTGTGTGTGTATGTGTGTGGTGATGATATCAAAAGTGCTGCAAGCAGTGATTAGTCTTTAGAAAAAGATATGAAGATTATCCAACCTGTGTTGCAAACAATAGATTGGATTAATTGATAATGTGTCTGTGGTTGTGTGTGTGGGATCAGAGGGGATATCATCTTCTGATAAGACAGCTTCATTTTTACTTCCCTCATTTCATGCTGGCCACACTATTTCAATAAAAGAACAGCAAGCCTTTGTTCAGGAGTATAGTCCTGAGAGAAATCTTAAGGAACTGGTTCTCAGCAGTTCAGGTCCACTCTTGGCTGAAATGGATGCTAACAGTCAGGCTGCTTTTAATTCAGGCATAGCCTTACTGTGGCATCACACAGTAAGCATCACAACTGCTAGTATCAAATGGCATCTATTTAAAAGTAAGGATGATGACATAAAATAGGACACAGCATGACCATCACTATTTTATTAACAGAGAGATGGTTTCGTTTTATTCCTGTAGTAATTAAGAGTACTGAGTAAACAAACACTTGATGAGGAATAACAATAAATAGGAGTCATTAATCACAAGCAAGCAGAAAACAATTCTGGTCACCAGCTTACAATAAACTTTTATGACTGATTTTACAATCACATACTTCATGAAGTATAAATGCTAACTGTTGTTTAATAACAGCCAACAATTTAGTTTCTATAGTGCAGAAATGATTTTAATGGTCTCTACCCACTAAATAATTAATTGGACTAAACTTGAAGCATTAGGTGGGCCTTAAGAACTCTAAAACTTAGAAAAACAAATATACCATGCACATCTACAAAAAGGCAGAGGGTGCTGGGAAATTTCAAGTAGAATCTTCTCTTCCCTCAGAATGCAGCTCACTTTGGTGTGTCATCAACTCATTTTGAAGATGTATCACTAAAATCAGATGACTGCCTAACACACCAAATTGTTGATGTTATGATATGAATACAAACATAACTACCATTGTGATTTAATAAGTACAACCACAGACATTAGGGCTGCACCATTAGAGGATAGCTGACTACTTACTGACACCATGCTTTAGCACAGCATATATTCTAAGCATTCTCTTTATTTTAACAGCAAATTTAAAAAGCAGTTGTTGACTCCCATGATGCTTTTCACAAGTATAATGGGTCAGAGGCCCTTTACTGCTCTACTTTCTTTAGAATTTTTTAGCTGATTAAGAACGGAAGAAAAACAGCCCTCACCAATTCCAGGTTGGCTAAGGTATATTGGTAGCAGCTTATGCCAAAGCATCAAGCTTTACAACTGTTTTAGAAGCGGGTGCTTCTATAGATAACATCAGAGCAACCCTCTTCCCTGAAATATTACATTACCATGAAATGTAAAACACAAGCATCTTCAGTAGCATAAAAAAGCAAAAAAAAAATCCTCAATAATACACGTATTGGGACCCATTTTTCTCATAGAATCTTCTGTAATGGTTCACACTTTGAAGACCAAGGGTTAACTTCCTTATAGTCGGGAATTAAAGAATAAAGGCTGGGAAGAGAACTGGGTAACAGTGGGAGAAAAGACAGCAAAATGTCAAAAGCCTAACTCTTTAATACTGCTTCCTTACATATCAAGAAGACAATTATATTAACACGACTGTAAACTCAAATCCTTAAAAAAGATATTTGTCTATGTATGAAGCAAATATGGAGGTAGGCATGGCGCTTGCAAGTCCAGCACTGGGGTGGAGGGGGTGGCAAAAAGTGCCATTTCTTCTACTATTGTTCCCCAAGCAGCTTTCCAAAAGGACACACAACCATGAAGTTCATGAACTTTTTTTCAGATTCCATATTCCTTGATTTTGCAACTACCTCTGAATATCCCAACAGAAATTTAGCGTGCTAGATAATTCAGCTATTGATGATCTCAACAACGAATATTCTTCATCATCTACCAAAAAAGACCTCTTTTATCCCAAACTATCTCTTGTGATATACCTTTATCTCATGGATCCTGCTCCCTGGACAGCTTCTAGGTGCTGACAGTAAGCTTTAAATATTAGTTACTCTGCTAAGGTAAATGTTTCTCCAAATTCCTTACTATGTCTGTTTCTGGAGCCAACATTTTCATTATCTAGACCAGAATCCCTAGACTCATCCTCTGGCTTGTGGCTATCCTGGCTTACATTCTAAATTCACTTTTTCAGAGGCATCTGGCTTCTAGCCTCAGGAACAGTCCATAGCAGAATCTCTTTTACCCTGTGTATAACCATGTTCAGGGCAGTGTTCATCATTTTCTCTCTGGATTACTTGATGAGCCTTACCTCAAGTGATCGCCTTACCTCAGAGGTCTCTATCTGTTTTACCTTAGATTATACTAACTTGCTAAACTGAGCCTTCTAAGGTAAACCTATAATTTTCTGCATTTCTTCCAATCTTCAATGATTAATGAATTAAATTTAGATCCTTTACCCTATCCCTCAGATAAAGGACAAGACAACCTGACTTATTATGGAGACAGTTGCTTTGTTCCATTTTTGCAGAGTTTAACAAAATTAAGATACCAATACCAGGTACTAAATGAGGATTGACTTGGGAACAAAACAGGCTCAAGAGGCAATCAAGATCCTTAATTGTAATGTATTTTTTAAAACAAGTTAAATGAAACCTCTAAGTCCTTTAAAAATCAGTCTGGGTTGTTGCTGTCCAGTCAGCTTTCAGAGAGAGAGAGAGAGAGAGAGAGAGAGAGAGAGAGAGAGAGAGAGAGAGAGAC